TCTTGAATTTTGGCAAGGAGTTTTTACAAATTGAGCTTTGTGCGTGCCAAAACATCGGTTGCGAGAGTGCAGGCGACACTATAAAAACTGCCATGGTTGGATGGTGCGGTGGTACATCATCTTGGCCGGTCTGCCAAGTAGAGTCTGGATAGCTTGGACACATATTCCACTTGAGACAGTAGATCGCTGGTTCGAATCCGGCAAAACACAACCACATTTCTCGCGGCGCTGGTATGCATGGATGATGAAGGCATGCTTGGATAATCAAAGGTTTTTAAATTCCCTTTGGTGGGTACTAACGGAGGAGGGTCGACTGTTTGTGTAAACGAACATACCTCCTAGTGGTATTTGCAAATGAAATCCAGAGTATGAGTGTCTCTAACGTCAAAAGAGTCATCCCACATGTATAAATATATATATATATATATATATATATATATAGTTCATTATCCTGATTTGGCGCCTTGAGGCCCGCGCAGGTTTTTCTCGGAAGATATGTACTTTTAAGTAGGATGACACAATTTGACGATTAGAACACTCACACTCAGATTTCATTTGCAGATACCACTCGATGTTAACCCTTACGGCGTTTAACCTCTTCCGTGCATACCCACCACAGGGAAAAGCGTGAAAGCCCTATGGTTAACCGAGTGTGGTTTCATCGTCCCACAAGCATAACTTCACCGCGAGAGAGAGTGGTGTGTGGGTCTGAGTGGATTCGAACCAGCTTTCTCCTGTCTCGAATGAGGCAGGTGTTCAAGCTAACCAGTATCTACTTAGGAGATTGGCCTGTATGGTGTACCACTGCACCATCCAACCCTATCCCACATGTATACATAGCACTGTTCATGTGTCATAGCTAGATAGCTGAATACACATTAAATGACTCAAAAAAAAAAGACCGGCAGTGAAGCCGGAAGCGAAAAAAGAAAGGAAGGAAATTACAGGGTACAGTAAATGGCTAAGTTACGGTGCCCTGCGCCGCATCCCTATATTCTACACCCATCTCCTCTCGGATCAGAATCAATCTCATCGTGGTCACCTCCCACCCTGTTTATTCTTGGCAGACTGTAACATCTGCTGCTGGCCTAAAATTGATATGTCTACTAAAAATTTAACCCAGAAATGGAGGAACTGATTAGTGAAATCCTTAATTAATCTAGGACTCAGTAGAGATCTCAAGTTAAATCAAGACGAAGGTAGGGATTACACCAGCGCACTGAACTTATCGTCAGCATGCGATTCGCGGATGGATTCAAGTCTCACGATCGTATGCCATTACCCGAGGTTCCTCAATTTTCTAGCTCCGAGTAAACTTTTTTCCACTCAGAATGAGCGAAGTCTGAGACCAATTTCCAAAATAACATCACTGCCAACTGGTAGACGCGCTTGCGGAGAGAGCCATGACAGCTACAAATTATTACCCTACGAGCTAAAATTCTGAGTATGTATCTAAGGAATAACCCCCCCTGAAATAGCGCTACATTTATATGACGGAATGGTCTCATAGAGCGATGAGGGGGCGCTAAACTGGCACAATCATGATGTCTATGAATTAATAAACAATGAAATCATGGGAATATTGAAAGTTGGGCGCCGTTAGTCAGTAATCGAGCAGGATTTACACTTGTTTGCACCTACAGCAGTCCTCCAGGCTGTAAGTCATCCATAGTCATAGACTCAGTAGGGACCTCTAATCTAATCTATTCTATGTTGTGAGAACTAGTGTAATGTTGAACATGAGTGGGTTTTGGTAGCCTAGATATCCAAAAGAGACGTAGTTAGTGTAATTCATGGTCATTTACTTAGTTCAAACTAGACCTACTTGTATGAAACTCTGTAGGGGTGTGAAAGGTGCAAGGCTCCTAGCGCGTGGGTAAAGGTAACATAAAAATTAAATCAGGCATTAAACTTTTATGCAGAGATCAGCATTTATCGCCAATGATATCCTGTCCTCTAACCTCTGCCTTTAGCTAAATTTTGGTAGTGAATCAAGAATTGAAACTCTTGCCTAAGAATTTTGGAACTGGGTAAAAAGTAGAATTATACTGCCACATTGAATGCAGTTTATAAGAATCTTCAAAATCGAAAGTCTCATCTGGCATGTTTATCAGACACTAATCATATGTCGTGACTAAATAGCTTCACAGCTATTAAATAAATAAAAGAATGCTATCCAACCTAGCATCAAGGCCCTTGAGTAGAGATCTTTGAGAAGCCAAGTATACCCTGTCGACATCATTGAAAATTAGACATCTTCCAGAATCTTCAGAACATCTGAATGATTGAATGAGACCTCAGCTGGTGTTTTGTAGACTTCTACAATATAGTCAGGAAAAATGAGAGAGAACATGTACCAATGGAACGACAAATCTGAGCAACATAGCATAGCCAACTACTGATTGGATCTAAAATACTATGATAACTCCGAGCTATATACATAAGACGATCAAATTTTCATATGATCCATCATAGAAATGCTGATGGAACAAAAGAACAATCTTTTTATTATATAGACCAAAGCTAATGTGACCGTCCCGGGCTCAATTAGACTTCAGCGAATTAGAATTTATCAATATCGTGAATGTTTTGCAAATTTATCAAAAAACCTTCGTACGATAGTGAGTATAAACAGACATAATCACATAAGATTTACATCTTTCCTTTTTCATAATGTAAAACAAAATTTCCACTTTTAAAAAATTAAATTTAGTGCCACTAGCGTAGCCGCGCTGTCAAGGCCATACTCACTGAAGGATATGAGCCGAAAATTATTAGGAATGGAAAGAGGCTTTTAGATTATAGCTTCTCGTGCTCCTCAAACATCCTCATCTAAAAGATAAGATGGTGGGCGAGTAATACTGGAATGATCTTCAGATGTAGTGGTATGGCTTCGCTGCCAAAAAAGACGATTTGGATCTACTCGCTGTTGAGACTAATTAGTTATTTTACTTTAAAGTCATCTTCGTTCATACACACCATAGATTCCTTCCAAAGTCCATAAATTGGGGGTGGGACCCTCATAAGAGTATCGGGCACCTCCTCATCACGTGATATGATTATTGGGATAGGTACCGATCGATTTTGAGACTCGAACTGCCTTGAAATTATATTACGGCGATTTGTTTGTTGTATGGATTCTTGGACACTTTGAACCAACAGGCAGATTCGAAGGAGGTTGCGGCAAAAGAATACCGCCGTGATCATAATAAATATGATCAGTACAATATGGAACTCTTGACTGTTGGCACCATTGGAGAGGGAAAGGGCGAGATATAGGCCCAAAAGCAAGACCAACACCTGTAAGTCATTAGTATCACACGAGATTCAGGAGCCAAGAATATATGACAATTCCAGATAGACAGCATGTTAAAACCTTATTCTGAATTCTAGGGTCATGCAGGTAGAAACTACAACTTTGAGAAGATCGACTCGAGTTGATCGTCCTTCTGATTCGATGACTCTCCCTCCAATGAACAAAGGTGAGTCTGCGAGATTCAGGTTGAGCGGGTGGCTGTTCAGAAATTTGAGATCGTTCGGGATCGGGTCGTGGCATAGAATTGCGGAAGAGATGTCGCTTGCTAGCGATGGGACGCTTGAAAAAGAGTGAAGTCTTTATAAAATTTATAGCAGATTTCTTGACTTTCCTAGGTCCTACGGAATGAGGAATTAAACTAGTCAAAGAAGAGCCATAGGAGACAATATTTTGATAAGGTGTCTGCTGGCACTCGATGGTATTTGGATGGTCCATTTTCGAAAGCTCTGGTTTTAATCTCACTAATACTGACTGTGGGTACCTTCGCCAATATAATGCTGATCAAGTTGGACTTTCACTTGTTTAGAAATAACGCTATATAAAGAGACGTTCTTTTGTACCTAAAGTGCTGTGTAGTTTTCACTAATTACGACCGAATATTATTGTAAGTTCCACGTATTTTGATCGTTTAGCTTGTGAGAATTCGAATACTGACGCGGGAATCACTGAGCTTCTAGAGCGCAGTGTCGTGATAGGTGGGACTGTCCAGTCAAATTCAATTAAATTATTAAATATTTGTTTAGATTCAAGTACAATTGATGGCTGAAGAAAGAGAATATTGCTCCACAAGGTTCGGGGAAATAAAATGCGAGGATAACGAAAGTGATAGAGCTCTTTTGGGATGAAAAAGATGGGCCATTCGAGATGGAAAAGCAACTAATCCAGGGCCACCGAAGTTAGAGTAGTAAGCAGATAACGGCATTCTTTAAAATCCAAATCGCTTGTTAATACACGAATTAGTTACCGCCGGAAACGTGGTATCCTCAAGTTGAGTAACAGCAGTTTGTAGGGTCTGGTGAGAGCGCAAGGAAACAGCTCGGACACAATAGATCTAAGACAAAGAGCCTAATTTGACTGATTATTAATTTCAACCGAGATTCCATCTTTTGGACAAAAAGTTCCGACCTAATGCGGTGCGCCAAACTATGTTACTACCCATTCATTTTATTTCTCGGGTGGCCCGGGATTATTATTGACGAGCCCTACTTCCCATTTGATTGGTAATCATGAATAAGCGTCAACTGGAAGAATTGGTGACAAATTCTAACACAGCATTTTAAAGCGAATTATCGGGTCATAGCTGCAGCCGAACACGTCTCCGACATCAAGTTAATGCGGTGGTTTGAACAATGATAATCGAAAATTTTGCTCACAGAAGCTCTACAGCCGTGTTCATTATTTAGTGAAATGCGACTAGATGACCTTGATACTTGTAGATCCAGCTATTTTTCTATAGTTAATCTCGAATTTTGAACTCGGAAAGTCAGTGAAAATTTTGAGCCGTCTACCATTCCTTACTAGCATCATCGGCCGAGATTGTGCATTAAAATTAGTCGCTTTGTGCTTCCGTGGCTCAAGGTAATTTTTATACTGTGTAACAGCTACTTTCCTCTGATACAGTTACGGGTCAATAATTATTACTTATAAATTCTTCATGCGTCTTTTGATGGGTGCTAATGTTGACTTATTTTAATTCACCTAATATTAGAGTACGATCTGAAGAGCCAGAAACGACTAGATTGTCAGTCAAGTTAATGGATATGAATAATTTGCTTACTGATTGGTTCTGAGGTAGGTGAAATTTCTGCACAGTTCACCACACCTTTATGCCCGGGAAGCTTGTACTGCATTTTTCCAGTCTCGCTATTCCAAATAACGACTGTCCCGTCACCAGCGCCAGCCGCAATTCTCTTTCCGTCATGATTCCAACTAGCTTTGATGAGGTTTTTTTCCATTCTAGATGGAGCACCGTCAAATGTTCGGATATGACGCTCGGTTGGAGCAAATGGTCTAATATCCCATGTGCGCACTGTTGAATCCATAGAGTTTGAGAGAAGCTTTTGTGAGTCTGGTGAAATACGTAACGATGAGATGGTGTCTGAATGTCCTAACATTGAGTAAACCGATTCCCTCCTCCTCATATCCCAGACTCTTATATCATTATCAATGCCCCCTGAGTATAATTCATTTCCAGCCTCAGCCAAGGCAACAGCTGTTACTGGAAATTCTGTCTCAATAAATGCCACAGCGGTTTTAGATCTGGAATCCCAGATTCCTATAAATCCATCATCTGAGCCACTGATGATAAGTTCTTCACCCCTTCTGCTGAGATCTATACTGTTAACAAGTTCTTCGTGTCCAGCGTATCGACGAATTCTATTCCCTGTTTCCAAATCCCAGCCTGCAAGATACATGTCTGCAGACGCAGAAAATAGCGATCTAGAGTCTCTAGACCACTGCAAATCTAATATTGCACCCTTGTGGCCATTTAATGTACCATAGTTCTCGCAGTTCCCAAAAGTTTTCCATAACACTTAACCATAATTAGAAATGTCTCTACTGAGATTAACAACATTACTTACTGATAGATCGATCCATAGATCCAGATGCAATATGACTCCCGGTGTAATCAAATTTGGCACAGAATATTTCACCTGAATGACCGGATAGCTGGATTACCGGGGCCAGCAGACTGGTTGTCCTCGGCACCTACGATGCTTTCATTAGCTCGTCTTCATTTCATGAGAGCCGAAGTAGCTCGTTCCTAGGTATATCAGACCTTCTGAACCAAAGACCCATTGCCTCCGAATTTATTTGAGCCGGAAACAGTCTTGCTATTATCCGAGTTTTGCTCTATCCGCTTCAGCACCAATTGCTGCTGGTTCTCTGGCTCTTCAGGTGCCAAACTCCTAGAGCTGTACATGGCGCAAGTGACAAATTTGGCTGGATTTTTTCTGATGTGATTAAATATGAAATATCTGAATCGCCAACTAATAGTTTGCGCACAACAACATCTAGCAACGGTAATGACTCACGCTTCTGATCGGCCGCCCATGATTTCCATGAGGTCACGTGCACGGTTGTAATTGTCATTAATAGCAGAGAATCTTGATCAATTATACTGCAATCATTTTTCATACTAAGATCACATAGAACATGCAGTAATTCTCTACCTATAGGCCAAGGATACCCATTCAAGTAGTATATCCCCTCCTATGCCTCCCGTGTAGCTCCCCTTAAACAGTATCACCCCTCACAAGTCCTCATTCGATCATACACTTAGAGGAACCTTCTGCCCTTCATTAGCTCCCCTCTCCAGCCAACGAAGCTCTGGCAATTTGCGGGTGTATGGCAGCTGGAAAAAACCGCAAAAACCGCTGGGTGCCGGGCTCTTCTATTACCGACATTATGACTAAATCCGAAGATCATGTTGAAATGTCAGGAAAGCCTGGAAGAGATGTGTAATGTGTTATTGTGTTATTTTGTAGTAGCTCAGCCAAGCTTCTTTTTGCCGTTTCGGGGCCTGAAGTGTTCACTAGACTGATAAGCAAATGAATTCGTCTTGATAATCACCAGAAGACGTAGTATTGGCGCCAACAATAATTCCAGAGTCAGTTCCAGCATGCTCCTCAGCAACCTCTTCTCACTCTTATTCCACGTTTTATATACCTGTCCTACTTCAAGTTCTTTAGCACTATAAGAGCAATGGTATCCTGTAAGCCAAGATCAATGCTTTGTATCTAAAGAATTAATTTCATCTTTATAGGTATATGTAACAAAGTAACTTGCTAATGGGAAATAGTAGGTGATTGGCGAGACAAGCTCCCATTTGCAATTAGAGTAGGTGCTCGAACGATCGTTGAGGCAAGGCAGTGTGTGGTAAGACTGGATTGGAGGGCATGTAAGTGAATGGTAGGACCGACATTGATGACAAGTCATCGATCATGGATATGCTTGTGACTGTATAATCTCAACTCGGATGGGATTCCTCTTGGCTACCCGAGATATTAAGGGCATTATTTTTTTTTCATCAGATTTTAATTGCGTATGCAGCTATCTAGCTATGACACATTATCAAAGAAAAGTACAGAAGAGATGATTCAACGTAAAGGAAGAGCACTCATGCCTCGGATTTCATTTGCAAGTACCACCGCGAAGTTATGGCGGCTTTTTCTTCACCCTAAGTCAACCCTCATCCGTGGATACCCACCCAGGGGAACGTCTCAAAAACCCAGAGTTATCCAGACATGCCTCCATCATCCATCAACTTTTCTCCGCGCGAAATGTAATCTGAGATGTCTCCTTCCCAAGTGTAATAGGTGCCCAGACTACTCAAACTATACCAGAGAACACCACCAGGAGGCGGACCACAACACCTTCCATCGTTGGCTTATGTTTATAGTGTCAGCTGCACTCTCGCAAGCGAGGTCTTCGCGCGCACAAAGCTCATTTCGTAAAACTCTTACCAGATTCGAAATTTCACGCCCGTCAAGAATGTTTCCCTTTTCTGCATCATCTTGTAAACTTGTCCTGATCCCTCTCACGTCCATCCCAAAGAACTGTCTCCCAGATTTGTGCGCCACGCTTTGTGTCCTCCGTCGGGTATAAATATCGGCGTGGACGTGTATTTGGTGGTCAACTAAGGCCAGAGAAATTCGACGAGAGGTGTGGTCATTGGGATGAGGATGTACTAGGTCGTACTTGTAGACTCGATGAAGCTTAGTTGAGAATCGGACTCTTTGGGAGTGAAAGATTGACAAGGTGGAGTAATTTGAAATTTTGCCTCGTGGGCCAACTTCTTTGATATTGCGAAATTTGACTGAACATGGCTCTGGAAGATTATTTCACTCCAAGGTTCGTAGAGGACACCGCGTACAGGTGTTCAGTCTTGCCCTCCGATATTAAGGGCACATCGAGTAGTTATACCGGCACCGAGGGGGACTATTCTCATCACCTGTCAGTGGTATCCCCTACGAACCTCCAGCTCTCACCGTAAAGTCTGCAGAGCCGACATTGAGTAACAAAGTCCTCACTTCGACGAGGATTGCCAATCGCTTTCGCGGTCTGTATCGTCTTCATCCCTCAACACATTCCCCTATCACCATTATCATGAAGCTAACCACGATCAGATCAGATAGTAGGTTCAAAGCCCTTCTCATCATTAACCCTTGATCATGGAGGAAAAGCCATCCGATGAGTTTCCGGAGCGTACCCAGCACCCGGTACGGCGATGGCGAGTTGGATCAAGTCGGCCTCGACTATTACAAAGAAGGGAGATATAGATGAATATGCGCACCTCGTGTGGTCCCAGTGTCTAGGCCTCGCCTGGCTGGGGCTGCAGGTTTTTTGAGACTTTTTCCCGCGCACGCAGATTCCACTGCTGCCATTTTAGTTTTTTTTGGGTAGAAGGTTTCGTGTAAAAGGTGGCCGAATTCCACGGGTCAACACTGAGCTGAATGGCTATTCATCACGGGCAATATATCAATGACCTTTCAAGAAACATGAGAGGTAAGGAGCACTGTACAAGGTGTGGCCTGGGTCAGAGAGGGGCCCAATGTTCTGGATAGTCTAAGACTCATGTAGCACAATAACTACATCACATCACACCGGTGAGGTTATAAGTTCCTAGGATGGTACGGTGGTAAAATGTGGATATACGAAAATCGTAGGTCAAAAGTGTCTCTGGATCTCTGCTATATCTTCTATATAGTGAAATCTTAAGACGGTGTATGACTGTCCTCTAAAATTACAGGATGTGTCTAATATATACAGATTTGTAGCTTAGTATGCATTATGCATAAAGACTGGGGCACACGTGACAAATTATAATACAATATTTATGATCAGGGATCCTCACAGTGCTGCAGGAGCAGCTCCTCGATATACTGAGTTGAAGCGGCGCATTTGCTGGGCCACCTACAGATCTTTGCCACATGTCACAGGGGCAGCTAGTTGGGGTGTAGTCACGTGATAATTATGGCGTAACTAAGCGAGGACACTAAGATTTAGATCTCTGCTTGTAGATTAGTTTCGTTCCTTGTGCAACCACAATTATATACTCTGAACATCCGAGTAATTATACAACGCCAGCCCGTGATAGTTAGTTGCACCTTTCTTCGCACGCGCTTCATATCAAATTTTAGGCTACCAGTAATAATTATAGCGCGTAGCGATTTAAAATAAGCCTTATGGTAGACTCAGAGATTCAGAGATCTTGCCACTAAACCGAGACCGAGTAAAGACCGAGATATATATCATAATCTGAGACAAGATAGGACTGAGTAAAAAAAAAAAAAAAAAAGGATAATCCTTGGGGAGAAGACAGCAACATTGAATCCGCTCCTTCATGCACTCGTGACGATAGACATGAGAGGGCCTGGAGAGCTTTAGTGGAGGTGATAACCAAGTACCCTGCAGTACAAGAAATTTTTATTGACGTCAATTTTGAAAAGAAAGTCGACCTTTCTACATTGGCTAATGCCCCGGCAGAAGTGAAAGATATTTTCCATGAACTTTTCGGACTTATTAATGGACACTGTGTGGCCCAGAGGCAAACTCTACATACCTTACAAAGGACGAATGAGCAGAGAAACGACGAGGTTCAAAAACTAAGATCAGTGTACAACAAACAGAAAAATGAAATCTTGTTTCTCAAAAGTCAATTATCCGAGGTTCCAATTAAAGAACAGAAACCCCCTTCCGTAGCTCCCACAATTCCCCAAGCTTCTGTCATCCAACAGCACCCGGCGCAATCATTTCCGCCAAGTATGATTTACTTGGAGAAGCCACCATCCATAGACCCTTTCTCAGGTGATCAGAAAGACGTAGTAAAAAGGCACAATGATTACAATGCTTGGAAGTTTAAACTAATCTCTAAGTGGAATACTAGCGGAGGGAACTTTGATTCTGAGTTCAAGAAGATCTGTGATGCAATCAATTGGCTCAAAGGCGATGCTTATACTCGCCTGCAGTCTAAAATTGCTTTATTTTTCTCAAGTACCGATAACCCATCAGGCTGGCCATGGTCTACTTCTGCAGAACTTTTCCGAAAACTCGACAAAAAATATCTTACAGCTGACATACGCGCTATAGCCAGAGGAAATTTGAATGATCTGAGAATGACTGGGAAATGGAAAGACTTTCCATCATTTATTTCAGAATTTGAAAGACTTGCAGATCAAGGAGAACTCAGTTCTTCCATGCGAGTATATCATCTCAGGCGTAAGGTTTCCGAACCTCTACGAGTGGCGGCAAAAAATCATATTCCCCTGCCTTCCGAAGATGACGTATATGCATGGATAGAGTTTTTTCTCAATTTTGGAAAAATCAGGAGTCAAACCGCCATATCGAAAGCAGCTTCTTTGGCAACCCAAGTGGGGGGAATTTTTACAAGTCCCGTAGTAGCGAAATGATGCCAACAAGTGATCCCATGGACTTAGATCAAATGCACTTGACTAGAGTCACTGTGACCCCGGCTGAATAGCAATATCGAAGAGATCACGGTTTGTGTAATCGATGTGGTGGAAGAGGTCACTATTCAAAGGAATGCACTTCCGAAATTGCAAGAAAAAGCAGAAGGGGCCATGATACTGCCGATCGTGAGTTGGCATCAGCGGAATTGAGTCGATGTAACCGTGGAGGTCAACAAGGTAATTTTAACTATAATCGGAGTAGTCAACGAGGAGCATTCAGTGGTGATAATAAAAATAACTATTCTTCTGCTCCATTTAGTCGCCGGAGCCAAGGTGGAAGAGATCCTCAGCCGGGCTATGCAAGAGGACAAGATGGAACTAGAAATGCTAATTCCAGTAATTTTCCGCATTTACGGATGCAAGAAGTAAACGACTGGGGCCACAATTACGATTCCCCATATGAACAGCAACATAGCCTTGGTAGCCCTGTAAATAATTTAGGCCACAAGAG